ATTTCCTTCAAATTCATACCTATTTCTGGAGAATTATTCTTCTTCTGTAAAGGTGTATATTTCCTTTATTGTTTGTTGTGTCACTCATACTGATGTGTACACATCTGGCATGTTTTTTGTTTCTTGCAGTTTTATTAGGTGGAGGCCTGGAACTGAAGAAAATGGACTGGCCTTCCTCTGGTCTCCAGAGACAAGCTTGAGTACGCTGAGGCTTTCTGAACTGACAGCCTCTCTCCTAAGGTTGGGGGCTAGTTAGGAGAACTTTCCTAGATCCTATGCAGACGCTGGCAGGAGTTGTGGCCCAGGTTACCACACTTGTAAAGCCACAAGTCGTGATCAGGAGCCCTTCCACCTTCCACAGCACTGACATGAGTGAACCAGGGGCTTGCAGCAGTTCCCACTGTCTGGAGACTGTGGGGTGCAGAGAGCCTTCCCCTAGCCCGTACCAGGGGAGGACATACTGATGGGATCTGGAGCCACAGGCTCGGGCGGAACTTTTCCCACCTCTGTACACACAGGCATGGGGAGACTAGAACCTTGCAGCCGCGGCTGTCACCCTGCAGCTGAAGTGAAACCTCCATAGGTCACACTAAGGAGCACAAGCACTGCTGGCACAGGCTTGGCTATTTTTCCAATCTACAGATGTGGATAAAGCCAGGGTCCCACAGTGGTGGCTCTTGTCCCTGGTCAGGCATGGCGCCATGGCAGCCACTGCTCTGAAGTTGCAGGTCATTATTTCCCACCCAGGGAGGCACTCACCAGCTCAAGGCTTCAGACAAGGCCAAGCACTGCCCTCCCACTGCCTAGGTGAAGGTGGCATCCAGCAGTTGCTGCTGTGGGAATGCGAGTTCTAGAATTGGGTGAAGTGCAGAGCGCGTTCTTTGAAGCAGAGGAATCACTTTACAGACCAAATCCCTGAACTAGATTTTAAGCTTTTAAGTAGGGACTGCTGGACTCCTGTTCTTATCGGGGTTAGCTGTGCGTCCCGGCTTACCTTGTACCTGCAGCATCAGATTCCCTGTGTCCCCACTGCCATCACAAGGGAGCTGGGCTTGAAGCTGCAAATTACTTTGCTCTTTCCTTTGGCTTTCCTTTTTGATTCTCTGACTGGGTCCCGAATTCTCCATGCTGTTTAGGGTCTCATCTCTTCTTCATGAGTTCCCTAAGATTTTTCTCCTCAAAGCGCAGCTTCTCCTCTACTGCCCTGCTCCTCTCCCACAGTTACTAGAAGGGCACTTCTGTCCAGCCTCACCACATTGTTTTAATTACAGTAGCACTGTCCTAAGTTTTAAAAAGAGGACGTGTGATACCGCCAACTTGGTTCTTCTATTTCAAGCTTGTTTTGGCTATTCCAGGTGCCTTGAAATTCCATGTGAATCTTAGTATGGATTTTTCTATTTTTGAAAAACTAATGCTGTCAACATTTTGATAGGGATTGCATAGAATCTGTAGGTCACCTTGGGTAGTGTTGATATCTTAAGAATATTAAGTCTTCCAATTCATGAGTGTGCAATGGAATGTCTTTCAGTTTACTGGTGTCTTCTTTAATTCTTTTAACATTGTATAGTTTTCAGTGTACAAGTCTTTAACCTACTGGGTTAATTTTATTCTTAAGTATGTTACTCTTTTTGATACTATTATAACTGGAAGTGTTTTCTTGGTTTCTTTTTTCAGTATTAATGTCTAGAAATGCAGCTGATTTTCTGTTTTGAATTGGTATACTTCAACTTTGCTAAATTCATTTATTAGTTCTAACAGTTTTATTGTAAATCTTTAGTGCTTTATACATATAAAATCATGTCTTCTTTTTTTTCTGTTTTTTTTTCCATGTCTTCTGAAAATGGAAAATTTTAACTATTCCCTTTGCAATTTGGATGCCTTTTGTTTATTTTTCTTGTCTAATTGCTCTGGGTCAGATTTCCAGTATAGACTGAAAAAGAGTGACAAAAGCAAGCATCAGGGGCTGGGGATTTGGCTCAGTGGTACAGTGCCTGCCTGGCAAGCGTGAGGTCGTGAGTTCGATTCTCAGTACTGGAAAAAAAAAAAAAAAAGAGCAACCATCATTGTCTTTATTCCTGATCTTAAAAGCTCTCAATCTTTCATTACTAAATATGATATTAGCTGTGGGATTTTAGATTATTTTTTTATTTTAAAGAGAGTAGTAAATGAAAAACAAAGAAATAGAACAGTACCAGCGTACCAGTATCACAAACATAAACAAATCAAAGCAGGAACATTCAAAGTGATACAAGATCTCAAGACAAAATAATAGGAATCAACAGTGGTTGTTACACTGCATATCACTATCCTCAACTACATTGCTCAGATTACCAGATGTGAGAATGAAAGATTGCTCAAACCATTAAAAGAGAATAAGAAAATAATTCTTCGATAAAACATTAGAGATAATACAGAGTTTCTCTAGACAACAGGGTAGGAGTTCACCATTGTAATTCCATTGCGTATTGTTATCTTCATATCAGTTGCTCAGACCACCAGACACAAGCATGCAAAGTCGATCAGAACATAAAAAAATTGTAAGCATTAACTGTTCATTTCAATACACCATCAAACAACAGCAATACAGTCATTGCAGCTATTCATATATATATTTATATTTTGCCTTCCTTCTTTCTTTTTTCTTCTTTCCCTCATCCTAGTTGTTCCTTCCTTAGAGCAGTTTCTTTCCCTTTCCTATCATCTATTGTACACTTTGAGTTTTACCTAGTATTTCAGGTTCCTACACCAAGGAGCCAATTTACCCATCTGGGTCCAATTTATTTCACGTCTGAATATGGTCTCTAGTTGCATCCATTTACCTACAAAAGCCTCAAGTTTATCTTTTTTAATAACTGAGTAACTCCACTGTATAAAAATACCACAACTTTTTTATCCATTCCTCAGTGGATGGGCATCTGGGTTGTTTCCAAGATTTAGCTATAACAAATTGTGCTGCTATCAACATGGGTGCACAT